TCCCTTTTTTAAGGGTAAGGGCTTCCCTTTTTTAAGGGTTTCGTTGGAGTCCCTATAAGGGCTCCCTTTTTCAGGGTTTAGGGGGAGTCCCTTTAAGGGCTTCCCTCTTTAAGGGTTCAGGGTTTAGGGGACTTTACGGGCTCCTTTAAGGGTTGAGGGTTTGGGGGACTATAACCCTAAACCCTAAACCCTAAGCCCTAAACCCTAAACCCTAAAGGGCTCCTTTAGGGGTTGAGGGTTTGGGGGAGACCCTTAAAGGGCTTCCTTTTTCAGGGGATAGGGTTTGGGGGACTCCGAGGGTTTCTAGGGTTTCTAGGCTTTAGAAAACTTTAAGGATTTCTAGGGTTTCTAGGGCTTAGGGGACTTTAAGGATTTCTAGGGTTTCTAGGGCTTAGGGGACTTTAAGAATTTCTAGGGCTTTCTAGGGCTTAAGGTGACTTTAAGCATTTCTAGGGTTGAGGGTTTGGGGGCATACAGGGTCCGTTTAAAACCCTAAACCCTAAACCCTAATTTAGGGCTGGAAGCAAGGCGAGGACTGGTCTCCGGGACTCTCAGCAAGTTCCTTTCCCACAGGGTCCTACGGTTGATGATATAAATCCTGCATGACCCATTTTAGAGGGAATATACCATGCTTCCCATAGTATAGGGTCTTATAAGGTAATGCAGGATTCGTATCATCAACAGTACTGTTATGGGGGATACTTCTCCAAATCATAGTAGTAACTCCTAACGTAGAAACCCCTCATGCTCCCACATAGGTACCCAGGACCCTTTGGGATGTAGGGTGTCTGGGGTTCGGCGTAGCATTTAGGGTTTGCCGCAATCCCAGAAAAAAAGGCTTATCTTTGTGTTGTATGTTCGTAGTGAGGAAACCTCCAGATGTAGGTATCTTCGGGTCCAAAAAGGGGTTTGATTAGTCTACCATCGAAAGTTGGGAATCTTTCGTGTTTAGGAACACTTCTCTCTACGTGTTCCGGAAGCGGTCTCTCGGATCTCGGGGGCGTTTCGGGGGCCTAGAGTTCTAGTCTTTTAGGGCTTCGGGGTTTAGGGCTTAGGGCCTGGGGTTTAGGGCTTAGGGGTTTAGGGGTTTAGGACTTTGGGTTTAGGGGCTGTCAGGGTGGGTCGGGGTGTAGGTCAAGGCTATTGAGGTTCAGGGTTTGGGACGTAGGATTTTCAGGGCTTAGGACCAGGTGGCTTAGTAAGAGGAGATGTAAACGACACCGGCGACAAGCGATTTGGGTATTCTATCTCTACTGAACTCAAGCTTCTTGATCGTGTGCGTACGGAAGATGTTGAAGCTCGAGCCTTCCGTAAGCTTTGGACCCCGAACAACACGAATAAGCTCCCGGGGCACACCGTCGTCCTCACTGCTGAGCATCTTTCAGTGTAGGGCTAGGGTTTTATGTGTTTAGGCCGACCTCAAAGCACATCTATTAACGTAAAGCGCCCAAACCCTGCAGACCCTACCCGGACCCTCAGAAACCCACATTTGTAAGGCTCCTTATCATGAGCTCCTTACATAAGTCCTTAAACAAGCAGCTTCTTTGGGGTCCGGTAGTCCTTGACACCCCGACCCCTAAAGCCCCGAACCTCTACGGCCCATAACTCCAAGCCTGATGATGAAAGCTGACCTGGGCCCCTGAACCTGTGAGGTTCACTGAGGGTTTAGGGTTTCGGGTTTAGGGTTTAGGGTTTAGGGTGGTTCACTGGGGTCTTTCGAACCACACCTCTTCAGGGCCCCGAAATGTCAGAATGCTCGGGGGTGTAATCCAAATCATAGGGTGTCTGGTCAACGCGTGTTAATCTAGGGTCTATTTAGGCTTCGATTTTAAGAGGCTATGATGTGAACGGGTTTTGGCACCTAACATCCTTCTGTTTGAGTACTTGCAGCTCGATACTCAGTTACTCTGTTTAAACCTGGAGGATTACTTGTAGCCCGAAGCGGTTTAAGGTTCAAGGTACCATATAGGCATATAGGGGGCCATAGTATAGAACGCTACCTGTTCAGGGTCATTTGGTCCTCAAGGGGCATCTGGTTTGTCACCCTAAATCCCAAACCCTAAACCCGAAACCACCCTGAACCCTAAACCCTAGACCGGCCACCCCAAACCTTAAACTTCTACCCTCCAAACCTTAAGACCCCCGTTTAGGGTTTAGGGTTTAGGGTTTAGGGTAAAACCTGAAACCGTTTTGCTTCTCCAGGCTCCAGCTCCACCAAGATATGCGTGGTCAGATGGAGGTCGCCCTAAACCCTAAACCCTAAACCCTAAACCCTGGCTTGGGCTTGGGAGTTTGGGGTTTGGGGTTTAGGGTTTATAGGGTGTAGGGGTTTAGGGTTTAGGGTTTAAACCCTGGCTTGGGCTTGGGAGTTTGGGGTTTGGGGTTTAGGGTTTATAGGGTGTAGGGGTTTAGGGTTTAGGGCTTTTGAGTTTGGGGTTCGGGGTTTGGGTGTGGAGGTTTAGGGTTGTTGGTTTGGGGTTTTGGGTTTGGGGCTTGGGTCATTGGGTTTTGAATTTTAGGAGTTAGGGTTTAGGGTTTGTGGTTTAGGATTTCGGGCTAAGGTTTAGGGTCTGTAGGGCTGGTTGATTCCACTTAGGGGACCCAGTGACTCAGTGAGCAGGCGTTAGGATATGGGAGTTTCCGAAAATAGGGGACCCTAAAATAGGACCCCAAAATAAGGTACCCCTTATTTTCGGAAGCTCCCATATACTTTGCTCCTACCTGGACCCTTGGAAACCCGCATTTGTAAGGCTCCTTATCATGATTTCCTTACAGACGTCCTTTAAATACCCTAAACCGTAAACCCTAAACCCTAAACCCTAAACCCTAAACCCTAAACCCTAAACCCTAAACCCTAAACCCTAAACCCTAAACCCTAAACCCAATCCAAACAGAAGGTTCTTTGTGGTCTAGGCGAAGCCTAAAGCTCTAAGCCGTGCCCCCTCGACTCGATGAGTTCATGGCTCTGAACCCCCAACCCCCAAAAGCTGTCACGGTTTAGGGTTTAGGGTTTAGGGTTTAGAGGGGCTTAGTAGGGAATGGGGGAATGGATCCCTATGATAGTCCCTTCAGGTCCCTTATAGTGGTCCCTATAACCCATTCCCCCATTCCCTACTGAGCACCAGACAGAAAGCTCTGGATGAGGGTTTAGGGCTAACCAAACTTACCCTTTAGGGAAGTAAGACTTTAAAGGCAGGGTCCGGTATTAGACAGCACGGTCTGTATAGACTCTACCCATAGGCCCCATGGTAGTTCCTTTTTGGGATTCCCTAATGGAATGTATCCTAAATATAGGCCACAAAAGGGAACTACTATGGGGCCTATGGGTAGTTTATGAAGATCGCAGCGGGTCTCTAAGACGTCGTGCAAAGGCTATTCGGGTATTCAGGGTTCAAGGCTTAGGGTTTAAGGTTCAGGGTGTGCTGGTAAACCCTAAACCTTAAACCCTAACGCATTCCAAAGCCAAAGACCTTGAAGAGCCCGTTTCTGCGAATCGAAGTCTTCTGACAGCTAGGGTTTTAGGGTGTATGGATTAGGGGTGTAGGGCTTATCAGGTTTAGGGTTTAGGGGTTTAGGGTCTCTTGGGATTTCGAGGTAGGGTTCAGTTTAGAGCCCGCCGCGCCAGAAAGCACAAAAGCTATCCTGGAGGCTCGGAGGTTCCAGTAGGCAAGCAAGTAACTTTCCCCCTTGGTGGAGTGAAACCTGTAAGGATCATATTAAACCCTAAACCCTAGACCCAGAAGATGGGAGCCCTTAGTCCTCAGAGACCCTTAGGGCCTTAGGGTTTAGGCTCTATAGGGTTTTAGGGTGTAGGGTTTTAGGGTTTTAGAGTTTAACCCTAACCCCTAACCCCAAACCCCTAAACCCTAAACCCTAAACCCTAAACCCTTTCTTTTAGGGTTTTAGGGTTTTAGTTTTTTAGGGTTTGGGGTCTAGAGAGTTTCAGTCGCAAGCAGCAGGAAGGTCTCCCGGCCATGGCTCGGAAAGAGGCCATCGTGGTCTTCAACGGCTGTTTCTTACTTCCTTCGGTTTAGGGTTAGGGTTTAGGGTTTTAGGGTTTTAGGGTTTAGGGTTTAGGGTTTAGGGCGAAATGATCCCCAAAAGGTTTTCAGGTTCATATACTGTATTGGGACTTTATGAATATAATGGTATAGGGGCCCTAGTTATAAGCGTCATTTGGTCCCCAAGGTTTTACAATAGCCGACCTTTCCATTTTTGAGCTCTTATAGTTTAGTAGCAATCTGAAAGAATAACCTTCAATTTCCCCTAAACCCTAAACCCTAAACCCTAAACCCTAAACCCTAAACCCTGGCTTCTTTGGGGAAGTAAGGTTTCTGCCCAGTTCACGCAGGCCATATCCGAGCACTGGAAGATTGCAAGCAGAAGATTGAATCTCGGGGCGAGTAGCTGTGGCACTAATAGGGTTTAGGGTTTAGGGTTTAGGGTTTAGGGTATAGGGGTTTGGGTTTAGGGTTTAGGGTTTAGGGGTTAGGGTTTAGGGTTTAGAGCCAGTTTAGGGTCCAACAACCCCCTCCGCAGCCAAGCAACAGAACAGGTTAAATCCAGAGACGTTGGATCCTA